GGGGGGGGGGGGGGGGGGGGGGGGGGGGGCCTGTGTGTTTGCGCATCACGTCTCGGCGTATTTGAAAGGGGCGGGCACTCTAATGGGGCCCGCCCAGTTTTGATACAACATCGACAACTGCATGGTGCCTGTGTAGAGGTCGTCAATGTCCATGCCTGCACGAATGCACCAACGAAGCGACACACTACCATCCATCCATCGAGTGTGTTGTGTTGTGTGGTCGGGTGTGATGGTGGCCAGCTGACTCACTCCAGTTGGGCGAGACGTGCAGCACTTCGTATTTGGTTGGGGTGAGGGTGCCTACACAGGGTGATGCATGCATGGATGGATGGATGGAAGGCCACACCACCCACCACCACGGCATGTGTGTGCTGTGTCTACCCATCTGTCTTTGGCGCGTACCTGAGGTGACCTGCTGGTGACAGCCGAAGAATACAAACTCCTGCTCAGTCGACACGCCTGACACACACACACACACACACACACACACAAGGGAACCAATCAACACGTGAAGGCCTCCCCTATAGGATCGATATCATGCGCCCACCCTCGTCAAACACGGTCAGCGGCGGGGGGTTCCCGAGCCCCCCGCCCCCTCACTCCCCCATGTCTTCAAAGCTTCCACCCCTCTCCCGCCCCGCCCACCACCTCTGCCGCCCCTCCCGCCGCGGCCGCCCCGCCCCCCACCACCGCCACCACCACGGCCGCCACGGCCGCCTCCGCCGGTCCCCTGGCATGCGAATCGGTAGTTGATATTCTTCTGCACCATGATGTAGATCCACTCGGGGGCGTAGCCCGCCTGGATGTCCGGGAAGGCCTCCTCGATCATGGGGTTCTCGAGGGCCATGATGGCGTGCTTCTGGCCCTCGCCGACGCCGGAGCGGTAGATGACAATTTGCTGCGGGGTGGTGCGGAGGGAGTCGCGGAAGGCGAACACGGCATCTGTGTGAGTGTGAGTGTGGGGACACTCCATATGTCGGTGTGTCTGTCTGTTGTGTGTGTGTTGTGTGTATTGTGTGGATGGGCACCTCTGATGAAGAGCGTCAGGTTGGGAATCACGCCGCTCTGGTCTTCGGCCGCGCTCACGATTGCCGTGCGGGTGTAGTACTGGAGGAACAGGTCATCGATGGTCGCGCTGCACACGATCACCGTCGCCCCTGTTGTGAAGACGACACGCGGTGAAGGACGGAGGACACGTTGCGGGCGTCTCAAGTGTGTCGTGTGTCGTGTGTACCTTTGGCCTTCTTGCACGCAACGCCCACGATCATGGTGGGCCTGTTGAAGACGGCCTTGGTGTTGAGCGCCCACGCCGCGCCACCCAGCTGACCACACGACACATGAGCACACACACAGATGGATGGACAGCTGGAGTTTTGTTTATCTGTAGCTACCCACCTTGACATTGATCTGGGCCACTAGTTTCGGCAAACTGATGGGTCACACACACACAGACTCACTCGGTCTGCTTCGTGTGTGTGTGTGTGTGTCTGTGTGTGTGTCGTGTGTGTCGAATGCACTCATTCATACGCAGAGTTCCACTTGTTGCCTCTCACAGTGAAGGGGTTCACGCACTGACCACACACACACCCACACACATCCACCAGTATCTGCGGATGGCTCCCCTCCCTCCGTCACCTGTGTGACCACGGGCACCTCTCCACACGTGAGCCGCTGCTTGATGGCGTTGTACACCTGGGTCTGCTGGCCTCTCCCGCTCGGCAGCAAAGCCACCACAAGCACCGGCCCATTCTCGGCCTTCGCGCGCACCATGCCCTCCAGGTCCTGCCACATTCTGTTGTCGCGGATGGCTCTCGGCCAGGGGATGGGCACCTCTGTGGGGACGGACGACAGCACTCAGTGTGTGATATGGGTAGGCTGGCTGGCTGTGGCGCGGTTCTCACTCACCAAAGGCGTCGGGCTCGGCATATTGGAGGCGGAACTCTGTGTGGGACATACAGACAGATGGACGTGACGCCAGCCGATCGCAAGCAGGTGTGGGTGTGAGCGGTGTGGCACCGTGTGGCACCTGTGGCCTTCTGCTGGATGCCCTGCTGCACGCCCCAGCTGCAGCACACCAACAAACAGCATAGAAACACACACATATGTGTGCGCCTGCAAGTTCGTGTGCCGTGTTTGTGTGCAGCCAGGCAGACGGCAAGCTCACGCCTCCTTCTCCGTGGAGTTCTCATAGACGATGATCCAGTTCTGGATGCCCATCTGCAGACGATCGCGACCAGACCATTTACACAGTCACAGTCACACACACATGCACACACGTGGGTGGCCAAATAGATCCAATCCCCTCTCTGCCCCCACTTTGACTGACGAGGCTGGCTGGCTGGCTGACCGACTTGACGAGGCCCCTAGGCATAAAATTGGCATTGTTCGGCAGCTCACCCCCGAACTTCAACAGTTTGTCGGCGTTTTCCCCCTCTCTCGGGCGTCTAAGCAGCTGAAAATTGCGCGCGTCAGCGTGAGGGCTAAACAAGTGGCTCTTGTTGCCACGCGTCATGAGACGGCCTGCAGAGAGACGGACGAGAGAGTGTGTGTGTGTGTGTGTGGTCGACGCTGCGCTGACCGGTGATCTGCTTGCGCTGCTGCGAGATGGTGACGCCATACTTGGACAGCAACTCTGGACACACACACACAGAGGAGGGGGATCAAGGCGGACAAAAGAGGAAGACAAGAATGACTGTCCTGACGTGTGCAGCCTCACCTCTGGCCCGTGGGTTCCTTGTGAGAATGGCGGCGAGCTGCTGGGCCTTGGCGAGCCGCTCGGCAGGGGGGAGGCGGCATAGCTGGCCGATCTGGGAGTTGAGCTGGAAGTTGTTGCGGATGCCGTCATCCAGGCCTGATGCATAAAGTAAATCATCGACCATAATTGTCCCTTTGTGTGTCTGTGTGTGGGAGGGTGCGACCACTCACCTGTGAGAGTGACAACCTGAGGAGGCAGCTTGACTTCGAAACGGACCTCCCAAGTGCCGTCGGGCAGTTATTTTCTCTCTCGGCAGATGACTGCACAGACCCACACACACACACACACACTCACGATTGTGCGCCTCACAAGCCTGTGCACGCCATATGAGAGTTGGTTGGTACCTAGCGGCTGGTTGGGCTCCAGGGCGATGTTGTAGGTGGTCTGGAAATACTGGGCAATGGTCCACTCGCGGTCGGCTTTGTCTGTGAATGTGGTGCTCGGGCTCTGGCCAAAATCGATCTGGTCGACAGGGAGGACAGCAAAGCCGAATGAGGCTCAGGAATGCTCGCGGGCTGCTGTATCTCTGTTTCGTGGCATTAACCTCGTCAATGCGATAAAGCTTGCGATCACGATTGCCCGCCGGACCGCTCGCCTGTAGAATGAGTGGACATAGAAAAACGGCAGATGGACGCACCGACGATCTGCAGGCGGATCGGCTTACGTATGAGGTGATGATGCGTCGGCCCTGAAACTCCTCGTTGATCGCGGGCGCCAACCGGTCCATCGAGAGGTTCGAGTTGTTCTGTAGGGCCACGAACACACCAACACACCCAGCAATACACACGAAGTGTCGTCCCGTCGCTCCCCTTCCCACCTGTCTCTCTTTGAGGACGTCCAGCAGCGTCCGGTTGTGCAGAATGCGATGGGTGCAGTCCAGCTGCACACACGTGTCCACACACGCATGCCGTCCTCTGTTCTGCCTACCCCCTGACCTGGCTAAAGTACCTGGATGTAGAGGGCCCCGCCCAGCTGGAGGGTAGAGGAGAAGAACCCAGGCAGCAACACATAGCCCCCGCCGACATTCAACACGCCCTCCCGCACATCCCGCGCAGCCGTGTCGGACACCATTTCGGTCATGAACGAGTGGCGGCCGATCATCTGGAGCTGCACCATACACACAATACACACACGAGAACAGGGGAGGGTCAGAGTGCCAGTCGGTTGGGCCCTCGTGTGGGTGTGTATACGTGTGGGGTATGTGCTCACGTGCAGGGCGCCCATTGCGCGCTTCAAAGCTACGTTCAAGTATTGGGTCTCCTCCTGAGAGAGGCCTCGCGGATCGAAGTTGAGGGACCGTTGGAATGCCAGCTGAATGACCTGGGGAGCTTCCTCCTGCGTGCAGAACACACCAATGCACCGAAATATGCCATACATCAGGTGTGCCTGTGATCAGCTTACATTGGCTCTTGGTAACTGAATGGTCACGTTTCTGTTCGTTGCCTCACGCACATAGACGTTCATGCCCTGGAACAGCAGCACGCTGCCGTCAGGGGCGCCCAAACGATTGAGAATCTACACAGTCCGCAGACAGAAAGACGCACGACAAATCGCGACCACTCCCATGCTGTTGCGTCCTTGCTTGCCCGCTCCCTCCCTCCCTCCCCGTCACCCCCCCTGCAGCCCACCTACCTCAGTAGCGTTCTGCTCGAGCATCCGTCGCTTCAGCCCCACCGAATCCACCTCAGGATCCCATACGGCGCTGTACACCTGGATGCGGAAATCAGGCTCCAGGCTGACGCTGTACATGTTGGTTTCGGCGCCGATGGGCTGTTCACACACACAAACACAAAGGCAGAAGAGAAGATGCCCCTTGTCTGTTCGCGTGTGTGGATGTGTGGGATGTGTTGTGTGTTGCGCGTGCGTGTGTACCTGGCCCACAGTTCCGAAGCGAGGTCGCTGCACGAGAGCCATGGTGAGGGGAAATGTGTCGTGCTTTCTTCCCTCTCTGCCCCTCGGCCTTTATTCCTACTACAGGGTCAGATCCTCGTGATTTGCCCGGGGCAAAGCACGATCGCCTGAACGTGAAGCGGGGCGAAGAACTACAAATCAGGCAGGCGGCAAACGGCAGGCCCCTGCCTCCTTCTTTTCCCCTTCCCGGCGGTTTCAGGGAGCACCCTAGGTGGCCTGACGGCCAAGTCCCCTGTCGGTCTGTCCAACATGAAACAGGCACCCTAACATGCAACCCGGACACGAAACACGCAGCACGCAGAGGGCAGATGCAGCAGAGAGGAGGATATGCAATGCGCTGCGAACGACGGCCACATACGAGCAGGCACACAGCGTCGCACACACGCCACCCCAGCAGCAGCGTGAAGGCGGCGTGCGTGCGTGCGTCAGGCACCATGACTCCATACGTAGATACCGCCCATCCCCAGGTGGCCAGCCAGTGCAGATCGCCCAGTCACACACAAACACGCCCTTATAACAACCACGCACGGAGTGCTGGGGGTGCATGAGAGCGCACCGCCGCCCTCTCCAGGGTGGAGAGGGGCGGCAGGTGGCCGACCCGCAGACACCCCCAGTGCACGCCCATACACATATCACCGCCGGGATAAGTAGGAGCGCGGCAAGACACACACAGACCACGCCCACATCCACACGCACACCCCTACACACGCGCACACCACCCACACACACACACACACACACACACACGCAGGAATACCAATACCTCACCCGCATACCCACGCCGATAGCCACTTTTCCCCTTCCCCTCGTGCGAGCTGCACCTTGAAGACGCCTCAGATCTCGGCCCTGGACTATCCCCCGTCTCGCAGGAAAGTCGGCGCTTCAGCGGAGCTCTCGAGCCCTTGGGGCGGTTCTCTATGGTGAAAAACTCCGCTCGAGAGCCTCGTCAAGGCAATGACCCTCATGATGACCCTTCGCCCCTTCATTTGTGGCGCTTGCCGCTCGAGCTGCTGTCATGGATCCTCAGCTACCTCCAGGTCAGATCCGTGCTGGCCCTCAAGTGCGCCAACAAACCGCTCAGGAGCCTTCTCAGCCTGAGGGATGCGTTCGGGGCTGGCGTGTGTCTGATCGACGAAAGCGCCGTGCTATCTGGAAGATGGGCCCACGAGTATCTGCGGAAGGTACTCAGCGGATCGCGCAAATTGCTCGACCAGTTGGCGCACACTGGCAGCGTCATTGCCGCCATGGACGGCGACGAGGTCGACCGGCTCCTCGATCCCTCCAAGAAGACAGCCGCGGCCGGCGGAGCGAAGCAGGATACTGTTGCTGCGCCGATAAGCTCGTGTCTGCAGGCGGCACGAGACATGGGGCATCTTTTTTTGACGATGTCCGACCGCCGGCAGCGCAGACAAAAGAAGGCCAAGAACGGGAAAAGAGTGCGTGATGGTGTCAAGGATGATGATGCCGACGATGGCCTTGGAGATTTGGATGAGACGCCGACCTTCATGGTGGACAGACGATTCCCCCATCTCAGACGATTCCGGCTAGAGGGAGACATTTCGACCTGTGCGGCCATTGGTGAGCTGAAGTGGCAGCTTCCTGTGCTGGAGAATTTTGCTTTTCGAGAAGTCAGTCAACAGTCAGCAGAAGGCCGCGAGATGGCCTTGAACATACCGCTTATCGTGGGTTTCGAGGCTGTGAGGGGATTCACCGGCTACCTCTCCAAATGCCGCGGTTTACGTGAGTTCAGCTTGCACACCGACTCTCCTGACAGCTGCGTGCCACTGGCCTGGCAGCTGCTTGAAGACCTTCCATCGCTAAAGACTCTGCAGCATGTCTCGGTCAGCCATGACGACGTTCCTGAACGGGCACATCGTGACAGAGGCACTATCACGTCCGTTACAGAGTGCTGCGCCAGCCTCCTGCCCAACCTGGAGAGCCTCAGGATCACTCACGTAGACTTTGACGTCTCATTCGCGATCGCCCTGACATCCTTAGTCAAGACAGCAGCCTTCTCGTCGTTCCACTGCGACGTGCTGAGCTTCTACACGCCTTCCCTCAAGTGCGTCCCACCAACAGCGGCAGCAGGGAGATCGAGCCGGCCAGCGACAGTCGAGGAGCTCTCGTGGAGGGCGCTTGCTATTGCTGCAGAGACATGCAGAGACATCGTCTTGGCAGTCCACCATCACCCACCAGCAAGAGAGACGCAGACATCGCATCCATGTGGCGAGAGGGAGAGGGACCAGCCCTGTCGCATCACCTTCAAGCGCGCCCAACGGGTCTTCGTCAACTTTGACACTTGCCGTTTGGAGGGAATGGACATTACGCCTGGACTTCCTGTCGTGAGCATGGATCTCCCGTACGTCTCAGAGCTGGCACTTACAGGCAAGAGACACGAGCGTCTATACACCTCCTGTTGCTCCCTGGTTGGCGGACTGTATTGTGTTGTCATGCATGGTTTCAGGCAGCACTGACGCTGTCGACATGACGACCAACGTCCAGGAGAGTCTACCGCGCCTGCGCGAGCTGCTGGGCCGCCTGCCGACCCTTAAGCGCTTCTTCGGCTATGACGTCCTGCAGCAATGTCCATCGAACTCCCTAGCCATGCCGCCGCTTATCCCTAATCCGCAATTCCAAGTGCAGCTTCTCCGTGCGATCCCGTCAGCGCTTAACTGGTGCATCCTGTCGGGCGGCCGCTGGTCGCTTAGAGATGTCTTTGCGCTTTTGCTGCAGTCGGCCTTGTGGTGTCCACCAATCAAGACGCTTGCCGTGCACGCCAGGCCGTTTTTGTGGTGGGACCCGGCCACACCGCGATTGGTCAACCGTCTCATGGACACGCCGCTGTTTGCGGGTGTGGAGCGGCTGCTTCTGCTCGACTTGCCTGAGTGCCCTAAAAGAGACCCCAACCCCCTCGCCTGCCTAACCGACAGACACCCACGAAGAAGAGACGAAGAGAGTGAGACGGCAGCTGAAGCGGGGGACCGCCAGCGACCAAGCGAGCCATCTTCATCCTCAACCTCGTCAGCTGCAGCAGCAGCTAGTGGTGGTGATGTTAGTGGTGGTGATAGTGCTGACTGGACGCCCCTCCGGCGCGAGGGGCGAAGGGAGACGCCTTTAGCTCACATCGTCCGGACTGTGGTTGAGAGGGGATTCGACGTGACGCAAACCGCCGAAGGCGAGTTGTCTTCGCTTGCCGAGGTTTTTACCTTTGCAGCGATCGATGACCGCTATTTGCCCCAGGGCTGGCACACAAAGTCGATTGCATTGCAGTTCGTCAAGCGCAATCAGAGGTGAGTCGAGCTTCATCGCAAGATGTACATTAATGAATCGGGTCTCTTGTTGGTCTGTTTGTCTTTATCGCATGCTGCAGTCAGTGATGGGACCAGAGAGGCTCTCGTGAATGAATGACGGGATTGCCGGTGCTCATCTCACACATTTCTCGCATCAGCCCTCCTCCCCCTCCTCAAGAAACGCCTGCAAGGCGTCGGCCTTTTCTAGGACATTCTGCTCCTCCTTCTCAAATTCCCCCTCCCCCCTGGGCCCACCCCCAGACCCCATCTCGTCCTCACTCAGTGCATCAGCAATCGGCGCGAGCTCCTCCCTCGTGCGCGCCTGCTGCACACGATGCAGCAGCTCCTCGAGAGTGTTGTCGACGCGCGAAGTGTGGAAGCATGGCGGCAGCTTGCATGACGGCTCGCTGCTGGCGAGGCGGTGCAAGGCCATGAAGAAGTGGAAGAGCCAGTTGGTGACACAGCCCTTGACCCACATCAGCTGGAAGTCGACAACAACCATTGCAGCCGCCGCGCAGCGCTCCTCAGGCAGCTCCAACTCATGTGTCTCGCGACTCCGCTTGGTGCCCCTGGTGGCCCTGGTCTTGCCAGCTGATTCGTCTGCTGTCGGACGGAGCTTGGAAGGCGGCCTGACGCTGCGCTTCGGGCGCCCGTCGGTGGCACCGGGAGTCGGGAGGTCGTCAGCCATGTCATCTTGCACTGAGTCAGGCTGATCTTCCATGTTATCGGGGTCTTGTGGCGGTGAGACGAGTGTGTGCGGGACACCCATGCCTCGCTGGTTGACCATGAGGAGGAACCCAATGGCCGTGTCCTGCATGCACGGGGGGAGGGCAGAGTACACGCAGTGATGCATGGACGTGCACGTGTGTGACTGGTGCGTGAGACATGTGATCATGAACCGATTAATACCCACCCATGACTGCATGAGTGCCTCGATGGTGGGCTGCCTTCCTTCCCAGCAGCGAAAGTAGCGAAACTTCCTCTCGGTCCCTCTGTAGTAGGCGACCTGTTGAAACAAAGACAGAGACACAGCGTCCATCTGTGCCCTTCTCTCCCCTGTTAGCTGTTAGCTCACCGCGAAAGACTGGTTGTGTTTGTTCCAATACACGCGGTTCACGCCGGTCTGGCTCGTCCGCTTCACGCCGTTGGCCACGTCCCTCTTCTTCGAGCCTATGCCGGGGAACAGGTGGTGGGGGAAAGGGTAGCTCTCTCGCATCTCTTTCGTCGACTCCAGGTCTTCCAGCTGTACGAGAAAGAGGAGGACATGTGCCTAAGAGAAGGAGAGAGGCCTCCTCAGCACTGAGTCACTGACCTGCCCATGCGCGAATTCCCCGCTGTCCTGACCGTCATCTTCGAACAGCAGATCAGTCGAGGGGAAGTGGCTGCGAGTGGAGGCGAACTGCCCGTTCGGACGACGGTTGCCCATCTGTTTGTCTCGCGGGATGCTGCCGCCCTCCTGCCCATCCTGATACTGCAGCAGGAAGGTACGAGCCGCCTCACGAGCATTGAGCCATCCGTAACGCTACAGCATAGAGACGAGCAGAGGGTGGAGCTCTGCTGTGTGTGAGACCGTTCTGCGGTTTCTCACTTTTGACGAGAAGGTCTTCATCCGTCGCTTGTTCGTCTCAGGCTCCCGATAGTTGACCCGCCACTCCTGCATGACACTCACAGCACAGACATGGGAGCCGTCCGTGTCGGTCTTGTCTCTCTCTGATTTGACCTTCTTGGCATGGTGGAAGTAGCATCCAGCCGGCAGGTCAGCCAGACCATTACACATCCCGCTCTCCCCGTCGTGGCCCTGCGATGTGCCGTCTCCCTCTGCAGCAATGCCGGCAGCCCCATTCGTCATGATCTTCGTCTCGAGATCATGGCTGAAGTCCGAAGGGGGCAGAGCGGCGTTTGTTGGGACGCCGGCAGCAGCAGCGCCGAGCCCATTGCAGAGCCTTTGTGTGTGATGAGTGGCATCACTCCAGCCCGGCTGAGCCCTCCTGCCCTCGCATGAGGACTGCTCTCCGTTGCCGTGCGGTGCGTTGTTGACGAACGTTGCAGATTCGGCGGTGGAGAAGCGCGAGATGTGTATGTTTTGTCTGTCGTTCTGGGGAGGGTTCATCATGAGGGCTCCACCCCCATCAACCCTGGAAGCAACAGCGGTTTCATGGAGCACCCTAGGCAGAAGGGTTTGCGAGCTAAGAAAAGCGGATCTCCTTACGAAGGAATAGGCAACCAATGGAGCACCGCAAGTGGGTGGAGGTTCAGCAGAAGAGCAGGCTCCTTGAAAAATTCGTCTTGGTCCGTCCCTTCACGGTGTCGTACAAGGACAACACCAAGCTGTTCGACTTCACCGTGGCTGTGATCCAACACGCCAAGGCTCACGCAGCTCTCCCACACGTGGTCTTCGAGAGAAGCTACTGGACAATGCCGCCGGGGTTCAGGTATCTCGGCAGTGCGGAGCGCCTGTGGGTGGAGTCGCTGCAGCAGGGCATTATCCCCAACCCCCTCGTCAAGGACGTGTTTGGCAGGGAGGGGGGGACGCCTGAGCACCCCATCGTCGTCGAGTAGATAGATGAGCCAAGTGAGGGAAGAGAGAGCGCCACTCACGGTGTTTGTTGCAGTTACTCATTGGTGGCTGCTGTCTGGCCTCTGTGTGTGTGCAGATGTGGTGTTGGATGCCACTCGGTGGATTGGCAGCTTCTTCTCAGAACCCGTCAGACCACACTTCTCGCCAGATAGTAACAGAGGGTAAGCAACCAAACCCTTCACTCACCGGAAAGGGCGTGCACCCAGCTATCGCTTCCTGCCTGTGTTTGCTGATCCAGAGCATCGCCAAGTGTGTCTGATCCTTCTCCGTATGGCATCAGTCATCGTTCCAAGAGGGGCGGCGGCGAGGGATGATGATGATTCGTGCGCGTGGCTTCATGACGTCCTTCTTTATCGCGTCGTGTGATCGCACATGCCAATTAGTAAGTGACCTGCAGCATGGGTGTCCCTTTTTCATGACGGTCGATTTGGAGTAGCGGCCGCTGCTCCGAGTGTTCCGCTGCGTTGATGGAATAAGATGTCTTTCACGTCTCTCTCTGCACTCTGAGCAGTTGGCATTTAGAGGGCTTGGCTGGGTCACTGGTTCACTGCTGTTGTGAGCTGAGCTGAGTACACGGGATCCGGTTTCCTCTTGATGTCACTCTTATCCTTGTCGAGCTGTTGGTTCCACAGACACGTACACGCACACGCCTACGCCTGACCCGTCACATCACATAGAGCCTTGACGAATGGATCAACCACACCAACACAGCCCGATCTGATCCGATAAATGCAACGCAACACTTACGCCAGCAGCGAAAAACATCGACGGTCGACTCACGCACACACAACCACCCACCCACCCACACAGACCCACAGAAACCTCACACCACTACCCTGCCCTGCCCCTCTCCCTCTCTCAGCCATACCGAGATCCCTCTCTTAAAACAGACAAATACACGTCGAAGATGCAGGACATAATGAATTGTGACGTTCTCCTGAAGTCGTGAGCACAGCCTATTACAGCTTATGCACAGGCAGTCGCCAGCACCGAAGCAGCAGACGACGAAGCACCGAATCACCGAACCAGCCCCACCTCCCCCGGCCTGCTGTGTCGCATCCGACTCCCAGATTCTTCACGAGACGTCAGAAGCCAGGCTCTTCAAAGTCACCCACCATTGTCATCGTCGCCACCTCGAGCAGGCCCCGGCGATAGGCATAGTGGCTAAGTAGTTGGCATCCTCCCTCGGTTGCTGGCCCTTGGGTCAGGCTCGTCAAAACCACCACCGTCGTCATCCACCGGCCCTGGAGCAGCCTGATCACAATCAGGATGGTCCGGCTGCTCATCACAGTTGACAGGTGGGGTTGTTGTTGTGGGCTCTGGCGTGGTGGGCTCTGGCTCGTCGAACTCGTCAAACCCAGGCCCCGCGTCGATAGGCCCGTCGTCGATATCGGTGTTGTCGACCTTTCTGGCAGTGGGGTCAGGGAAGAGAGCTGAACGGTAGCCGTCGTCTGATGCACCTTGCCAGTGTAGCTGCCCCAGGAACTCCTGCAGGCGCTGTACGATACCTGCCAGCTCGTGTTTGTCCGCCGGGGTCACTTGCTGCTCGCAGAGCACCCCATTGAAGACCAGCAAGAGAGGAATGACGAGGAAAGGAGTCATCTTCGGTCCGGGCGGTTCCGTTTACATACAGTACAAAGTACAAAAACCGTTGCAAGATGTCCACCTCCAGCGGGGCGCTCGTGCTGATCCTCGCAGTCATCCTCAGTGCCGCTGCGGGTGGAAAGGACGAGTTTGACTACGTGCTGGTTGGTGGCGGCGCGGCCGGGATACCTCTCGCATACACTCTTGCCGAAAACGGCAAGGATGTCTTGCTCATCGAAAGAGGCGGCCCTCGCAAAGACAATCCAGAGGATACGACGACCATCTCGCAGTGGGGGAGCGCATTGCTCAACAAAGACATCGCCCAGGAGATCCGCACACGTGAGTCACCTGACAGGTGCACTGTCGTGTGAAGTACCTGCGTGGTTGCTCTCCCTTCTGCAGTGGACAAGCAGATCACAAATGTGGCGAGCATCTTGTCTGGCGGCACGGCACTCTCTGGAGGTGTCCAGGTACTTGTACTGCCGGGACAGACGTCTGTCGGGATGGCAGAACGGTGTGTGTGTGTGTGTGTGCGCATTCCGTCAGATAGAGGAGGTTCCTGAGTACTTCGATCACTTGAGGGACAAGTTCGATGCCGATTTCGACGAAAAGCTTGTGAACGAGGTACGCACTGCATGAACTGACACAAACAGCACGCATTCTGTCTTTGTGTCATCCCGTCTGCTGTGTGTGTGAATGCAGTCGTACGCATGGACACGAGAGCGAGTGGGCCAGGTGATGGGATACCCCGACTTGTACGGAGATGCATGGATTGGCGCCCTGCAAGACTTGGGATTCGGTCCATTCGCCGGCGAATCGCCCTCCATCGCCAATGGCTCGTGGAACGGCTACAGCCTGTTCGAGAACGATGGGAAGAAGCTGTCGCCAGACAGATTCCGCCGTGCAACTGATGTGATACCGCTGGAGCGCCCCCTAGACAGCCTGAAGATCCTCACTCGACACAACGCCCTTCGTGTCGAGTTCGACACCAGCGACGAGACAGGCAACCCCAAAGCCACGTGTGTGGTGTACACCAAGTCGCCAGATGCCTTCGAGACCATCGACTCGCGAGCGAATGCAGGTCTGCCTGTGAGGCCAAGCCTCTTTGACAAGTGGAAGAAAGTGGATGACACTGATGCTGACTTGAGGAGGGCGTGCATTCGGGAGGGAGGGGAGATATTCATCTCGGCCGGTGCCATCCTTTCGCCAGTGATCTTGATGAACTCAGGCGTGGGGCCGAAGGACGTGGTGGAGAAGGTGATGAAGAACACGGGTGGAAAGCTCATCAGGGACGTCCCTCAACTAGGTCGGTCTCTCTCTCCGAAACGACTCCTGCTCCTATTTTTGTACGCAATGTCGACTCTGTGTCGGTGCGCCTACCTAAATGTGATCAGGCCAGAATCTTCACGACAGATGGGCCGTTCAATTCGGAGTCTTCTTCAAGTAAGCGAGGGCCGATTGTGACTTGTGTGTGAGCTGTGAATTGTGAGGGGACTTCTCTCTCAGGAAGCCAGTGTCGCGTCTCAGGGAGCCGATACCTGTCACAACCACTACAACAACACCCCAGCCGGACATTGGTCCACCAGACGGCGGCGGTGGCGGCGGGGGGATACGGCCGGCGCCTGGTGGACCAATCGATGACCCCGATGACGGCGGCGGCTTCGAAGAGCTTGACCCTCCCCCTCCCCGCTCTCGGGCCAAACGGGAAAGTTTCTTAGAGAGCGACTTTCCGATCACTGTCAATGCCGTCAGTGGAGTGAAGAAGGTCGTCGGCGAGAGCTGCCCTGAAGACTTCGGGTGAGGACGGGCGTGAATATACAGACGGATCGGCGAGTGCGTGGTGTGTGAGTGTGTGTATATGCAGCTTCAACACGACTCCCGACTGCTTTTATGTCACTGCTGAGGAGGGGACGGGCATCGATTTTGCAGGGCTGGTACTGTCCACAAGAGCTGCCTTTCCCCCGGTCTTTCGCGGACTCCCGTATGCACCGCATAGCGAGCCTGCATGAGCCAGAACACTGGTGTGTCGGTGTGTGCGGGATGTGGCTTTGGCTTTACTTCAGAGAAGTGGACTTTCTCGTGGCGTTGCTGTCAGAATGTCTCGACAAGCCGGACTCAATCTTGTGCGCTGCCTTCCAGCCCGTATTCGAGTGCACCTCGTGAGCGATCTGAGAGACATACGCGACCTTTAAATTCCATTCTTTTCTATGCTTGTATTCAGGAGAACTGCTGGGTGGATAACCTTCGCACCGGTGCCCAAATCGAGGGGCTACGTCACTGTCAACGAATGGGGTACGGGCAGAGACCCCCCCCCCACACACACACACATACACAGGGAGGATCGTTGTCGGGCTGCATTTCTGATGTGCAGGCGAGCCCATCGTAGCGTCAAACTACTTGACAGACGAGAAGGGTGAAGACCTGAACAACGACGTGGTCGGGCTGGAGACGCTCTTGCGGGTGAACGACACACATCGTCTCGTCGCTAGGGAGGCTGTGTATGTGGTAGCGTGTGTGTGGGTGCAGGTGCTAGGGAGCGGTCGGTTTGACGATCTGTTCGAGCGGCGTGGGCCCCAGTCTTGCGTTGTGTACATCTTCAACAAACTGGTCGACCTGCTCATCCTCGCCACACGCGCCCTGCCCATCCCCTTCCCAGGAGACCCCGACTTCCAGCAAGTACCCACCAGTATCTCCACATATTCTCTCTGACGTATAATAGTCGACCATATGTGTGCTGTGCATGCACTCAGACCGACCTGCTGGCTTCTCTCCCGTCCTTTCTCGCAGCGGAGACCGACGAGAAAACAGGCAGAAGAAGCGACAGCAAGGAAGATCCCAGCCGCACCTTCCTGGAGGAGGCCCTGCTGTGGGCCGAGCTGCAGAAGAGAAAACATGAGGTCATAGAGCGGAGCAGGAAAGCGTGGAGAGAGGGGGAGGGGGAGGGGGACGGCGAACACTCTGAGCCTGAGTGGAGAGGGGACAAGTCAGAGGTGGCCGAGTGGCTGCGGGAACAGGTGGCGCTGGCGTCAACGCCGCCCTCTGAACCGGTCAGCCAGCCGGTTGTGAGAAAGGAAGAATGCAGCTGAGTGCTATCAGTGAGTGATATTGTCTCTGTGCGTGCGTGTGTGTGCGTGCGTGTGTGTGTGTGTGTGTTTCCGTCTGCAGGAGGGTTTCATGGACGACTTGAGGTGCGAGTTTGTCACATCAGAGGAGTGTGAGCGGATACGGCAGCTGAAGAATGCGGAGCGATTCGCCATCTTGCCCACACTGCCCACAGGTACGTCAGCGCAGCCCAGCCCAGCTCAGTCCAGCCAGACACACACTTCTCTCGTGCCGACGCAGATCTGGACGATCGCGAGAAATTGGAGGGCTTCATCAAAACACACGGTCAGCGCGAGACACGTACGTCATCATGCGGCGGAAAACATGTCATGGGCGTGTGCGGTGGTGTGTGTGTCTGCCTGCCACGCAGGCAACGGCATGTGGCACTGGTCCGGGTAGGTGCCTGCAACACTACTAGAGAGCCATCGATGGGCTCTCTCGCATGTGTGTGGTGTGGCGTGTGTGCAGGTCGACGGCAATGGGGTCTGTGGTCGACGACAAGCTCCGTGTGATTGGCGTAGACAACCTGGCCGTTGCTGACGCAGGAGTCTTCCCCCAGGTGCATTAAGCAGTGCGGTGTGGTGTAGTGTGGTGTGCAGCTGTGCGTGTTTGCTTCTTTGTTGGATGCAGGCGTCTCGGATGAACGTGCAGGCGCACAGCATAATGATCGGCAGATATGCGGCGGCGCAGAGGGAAGAGCAACAGGGAGGAGACGACAGATGATTGATTGATCGATCGATTGAAGAGACACACACACACGTGTGGCGTCATTGGGCAGACAGAGAGGTCGGGGTGTGTGGTGCTGTGCTGTCCTGTGCTGTCGGCCGAGGTATTTTTTGGTGATTGCATACTGCCTGCATCATATCATGACGCGGCCTGCCCTGCACCAAACAAATTACTGCACCACGCTGGCTTTTGTGGTGTGTGGGTGCCAATAAGGCGGCTGTCCATGTGTATGTGTAGGTAGGGAATAGCCGCAAACTTTGGTGTATTTTTTGCTGGCACACGCGTCTCTCTCGCTCTCGCTCTCTCTCTGTATCTGTGTGTGTGTGTGAGGAGGGGGGGGCATCTCCCTTACTGCATATGTAGCTGATACATATGGACGTGACAAAGATGGTTGATTGACATTGATGGATGACGTATACACACAATACATACACCACCAGCCGTCCGGTCGGCCAGCAGTGTAGCCAACCAGCCAGCTGGTCGGCCGATCCGATGGCCGGACGTCCAAAACGTCTATTCACACCATACAGACACAAACAAGACGCACGCAGAGAGCCAGGGATAGCGAGATGATCTGATCTGTGGAACCTAGACATGCCCGCACGGAAAAATCGCAGCAGAAGCAGAAGAACTGGCTCAAGCGCATTCATCCGTCCCATATATTCAGTCCGCTATGTCAGGCGTCCATGCCATGTGTGTGTACGCCAGACAGGCAGACACACAGTGGTATGTAGTGTACACAGCAGCAGCAGCAGAAGCCTGGCCGGCGTCAGGTTTAATTTGGCGCTGCTGCACTGTTGGACGACTCGCCGCTCAGCAGAGAACGGCTCTCGAGGGGCGTCTGCACAGACGCACACACACATGGGATTACAGACAGATCTCCCTCCCCCCTCCCCCAACACACAGACGCGTAACGTACCATTTCCATCATGCCAAATTCGAGGTCGTGTTTGCGATGGTCGCCGCCGCCATTCCTCATCCCCCACGGCCACCGCAGCCACCCTCCGCCCCCTCCCACCGTGTGATGGTGATAGCCTGCGATGTCCTTTGGCGGCGATGGCGGCCGCGGCTGGCTGCTATCGGGCGTGACGCCACACATGAGCCACTCGAGACCCTCCAGCAGGCCCTCGCCTGTCATGACGCTGCACGGCACCACCCGCCACCTGCAGGCACGCAGGCCGACACACAGAGAGCAGGGATGGCATGGCATGTCATGTGTTTGTCAACTGATGGTTGTGTTGTGTGTGGGGGGCTCGGCTCTGACCTGGCTGCTAGTTCTCTGGGCAGATCTAGATTGTACTCCACCTCGCTGCGCGTCATCGCCACAGGCAGGTCCTGACACACATAAATAAGAGGCCACACAGGCACACACACACACACACACACATACACAGACAGAGAGAGAGATAGAAACCGTGTTTGGGATGATTGGTTGGCCGTCCCGTCCCCGCTCGCCCACCTGTTTGTTAGCGTACACGAGGAACTTTGCCTGGTTGACGGCAAAGTGCTCCTCATACATAAGCGCCAGCAGCTCCTCGCGAGCCTGATGACCACAAACCACACACCACCGCGATTCTTACACAGACGCAGGTGTGTGTGTGTGTGTGTTCGTCTGTGTGTGTGTTTACCGTATTGATCCGCCGTCGGTCGGCAGAGTCGATCACGAAGACGACGTAGTCAGTCGCCTAACACGAGTCGACACACGGGGAGGGAGATGGGATGGGTGTGACCAGCCAGTGATAATCACTCACTGACTGTGCTCAGCTGGGCAGTTTGTCGGCTCGCTCGGCTCACCAGGTGGTATTCTCTCCAGAGGGGCCTCACAGGGTCCCGATACCCGACGTCATAAAACGTGAGATTCCACGCCTCCCCTGCACACGCACACAAACACACACACAAGCGTGTGAGCTCCGTGTGTGCGATGTCCCCCCTCCCTCCCTCCATCCCTCAGTCCCTTCCTCAGTCCCTCCCTCAGTCCCCTCGGTGCACTCACTCCTTTGTTTGCCCCTCAGAGTGACGCTGAAGGTCTCGATATTCACATCCGCCGTGGGCACCTACAGACACAATCAAGCCAGCCAGCCACATCAGAGGACACCACACCCACCACCCACCACACGCGCTTACCGTCGAGATGACATTGCCCAGTTTGAGTCTGAAGAGGAGTGCGGTTTTGCCGCTGCCGTCCAGCCCGTAGATCAGCAGCCGCTTGCGTCTGGTGTAGACGCTCCGCCACAGGAATCGCGTGAAGAAGCACCCCATGCCACTGAGTCCCCAGTGGCCAGTGGTGGAAGTGGCGGCGAGGCCAACCGCCCGCTGCTCCTCGCGGTCACACCAGCGGGTGTCGTACAGCGGGCCCAACGACGACGGCGCCTTGAACGGCCAGCGACGGGCAGACGAAGATGAGGGACGCTCCCTGCGGACAGATAGACAGACTCTCGGATCTGCAAGGCGCTCCCTGCTTGTCTGTCTGTGTGTTTGTCGTGTTGTGCGGCTGTGCGGTTGTGTTGTTCGTTTGCGTACAGCCTGACTGACCTGAGGAGCGTCGAGGCGCGAAGATCCACGCTTGCTGCGGAAGCTTCTTCGGAGGCCAGGCGGCGCCGACCTCCTCCCACACACACGATGCGCAGCAAGTTGTATTGCCTTTGTGTGTTTGATGAGGATGCAGGATTTCTGAGGGTTTTTGAACCCTACGCCCATGGATCGGCCCTCAGCGAAGGAGCTGTGACGCATGCATATCTGCATGGTTCTGCTGAGGTGAGAGTGAAGTGAAAGAGGAGTGAAGCAGATCTTGACTGACTCATTTATTTTATGTTTTGTGTCTGTCTGTGTGCCGCAGTGCTTGGAGAGAGCTGCGACGGTGACCCAAGCGCCACGGCACGCTGGCGCAGCTGATACAGCAAACACATAATATTACATACGTCGAGTTGAGGCAAGAAAGGCATGCAGCGAAGCAGGCGGCTTTCAATCATCATTTGCTTTGATTGTGTTTGTGCGGCGTGTGCAGTGAGTCACTGAGTGAGTGAGTGAGAGGATGGTGCATTATCCGCAGGAAACAGAGTACTCGGAGAAGTACAGCGACGGCACCTACGAGTACCGCCACGTCATACTCAACAAGCAAAAGGTGCGTGCCGTGCCAAGAGAGAGGGGAATCCTCTCATTGTGAGGTGAGTCAAGTGTGTGTCGCGCATGCACTGCAGGCTCGTCAGTACGCCAAGATCCAGGCCGAGAGCGGACAGCCCCTCTTGACAGAGCCGCAGTGGCGGTCTCTCGGCGTCACGCAGTCACGCGGATGGATCCACTACGAAGTCTACAAGTGAGCGAGCGGTGAAGGAAGCAACACCACGCACCGACACAAACACAGCTCAGTGAGCTGTACGCCACGCCCGTGTCTGTCTTGTCTTGTGTGTACCATGTCTGTCTGCAGGCCAGAGCCTCACATCTTGCTGTTTCGCCGCGCCCTCGACAGCAGCAACAGTGCTGCCGCAAAGGCTAAGGCGGCTCCTGCGCCGCGCATGGGGCCGCTCAGCCAGAATTCCAGCCAGCATTCGCATTCCCCGGCATACTGATACTGCATGCCATGCCATGCCATGCCATGCGGGACAGACGATCTCTCACACGAGGGGAAAGCAAGGCAGCTTGTGTGTACGCGTAAAACGGCTCTTTGAGAGGGGCTGGGTGCGTGAGTGGATGGATGGATGGAGCCATGAGCGGTTATGTATCCAGTGGGTGGGCTGCCTACCTCCACAGAAGAAACGGAGAGCCGCCAAGCCGAGGGCGGTGCTGTTTATGTATGTGTTGCGTATAGCAGTGGCGCGTGTCTGTCTGTCGTCCATGCCATGTCATGCGTGGCTCCATGTGTCTATATATGTCTACGCGTATCTGTCTGTACTTGCATGCTTCCGTGCATTTGTTTATCTACAAACATGGATGTCAGGACGTCTCTGACTGGCAGGTCTGTCTACATGGCGTGATGCAGCAGCTAACTGTGTGACCTCAACCCATTCACTCTTGCTGCTCTCATTGACACCCACATTGACAACACAGCACCACCACCAGCAGCAGCAGCAGCACCAGCAGCCGCACACACTGAAGCCCGCGGTCACATCCGAGTACCTAAAGCAGACAGCACACAAAACAGCACACGCAGACATGGTTCACTCATCTCTCTGTGTGTGCGAGCATCCATCCATCCATCCATCCACATGCACACGTGTGTGTGTGTGTGTGTGTGTGGTTCAGAGTGAGCTGAGTAACGATTGAATCAAGAGGGCAATCCCTCACAAGAAGGGGCCTTCATTAGACCGTCGTGTGTTCTCATCACAACCACACCACACCACACACACAGCTGCCCTCCTCTCCCTCTCTCCCTGCCTCTTACTTGTCCATCACTCGCTCGACTCATTCAGATGAAGTCGCTCGTCCACTGCGGCAGCGGCGCCCGAAAGCAGAAACCACCCTCTCCCTCCTTCTCATACTGAAAGGCGTGCAGGCAAATCCCAGACGCGTGGAAGGCCTTGCCCCCTCCTGCCGACGATGCTCCTGAACCCTCCTCGCACTTCCTGGCCCGTTTGCAGCCGTGCCCCTGACCGTCACCCTCACCCTCACCGTCAGGCGCCTCCAGCACCACATGCGGGATCAGCCGATGGTGGTAGGCCTTGGTGTGCTGCCCTTGACCGATGGTGAAAGAGGGGTTGTAGCAAGGGTCGTCGCACACTGGCTGGCCGAGGTGCTTCAGGTGCACTCTGATCTGGTGTGTGCGGCCGGTGTGTGGAAAGCAGAGCAGCAGAGAGGTGTGGCTCTCCGCATGGTAGCCGATGCACTGGAAGTCGGTGCGGGAGTGCTTTCCCTCTTGGCGAGGCCGCTTGCAGCCGGTGCCCTCGTCTGCAGCAGCCACGCCGTCAGACGTTGGTGAGAAGTCCCACACGCCGTCTTTGTGGTTGGTACAAAACATGGCTCCTTCCACACTGATGCGGCGGTGTAGAGAGGCAGCCGCCTTGCTAGCTGCACCCCGAGGTTCCGCCATCACCTCGCTCAGCGAGGCAACACGCCACCGCTCGTCAGCCACATCAGATGCCGAAACCCCCTCCCTCGCCAGCATCGCCTCACTACTCGCGTCAAACCTTCCATCCACACGGGCCAGGTAAACCTTCCGGATTAGCTTGGCCTCCATGGCGCGAAAGAACAACTGTGCAAAGGCTGTGGTCTTGGCGAGAACGACGATGCCGCTAGTCAGCCGGTCGATGCGGTGGAGGGGCGACAGCTGGGCGGACTCGTCGCGCATCTCTGCGAGCATGTGGATGAGGGTGTTGTGGCGGTAGGCGCCGCCAGGGTGGATGGGGATGGAGGGGGGCTTGTTGACCACCAGACAATCATCCCTTTCCGCGATCACTGTAGGAGGCTCGGCCAGCACGGGGGGCTCGTGGACGATCGTTGTGTGGGTGAGGTGGTCGTTGTCGCGGAAGACCCTGACACCCCACAAACAAACAGCTGGAGTGCTGTGCTGCCTCCGACATCTCATCTTGGCAGCTCATCATCTCACCGTGTGGCCTCCACTTTCTCTCCGTTGATGCGAATCTTTCCTGTCCGCACAGCATCCTCAAAGTACTCGCGCCTGCCAGTGCATCATTACCACCACACACGTACCGCACTCAGATGTGGATGTACTTGCAGGCGGCGAATGACTCTTCCTTCCTCTCACCCAATTGCGACGAATTCGGTGCACAGGACGGAGATGAGCTGCTTCCCCAGCCAGCGTCGCTTGGCGTACACCTCGAAGGTGTGCTCATACTCCTCAAGATGACGTAAACCATCCTCGAAGTGATGCGCTGGCCGCCGGCTCATCAGCGTCCGCCTGGACGTCCCCATCAGATTCTGCCTCGACGGCAGGGGCAGCAGCAGCGGTTTCGGGAGCACTCTAGAGTGCGAGCTGAAGCATTTGCGAGCTTCGACTCTCGAGGGAAGAAAAGGAAGCACACGACGTGCCGCGGGGCGTTTGGCCCTCAGCTGAGGACCGTGAAGAAGGATTCCAGAGTTTGTTATCCGAGACGTGCATGCCTGTGACGCGCGAGTTCCCGGGACGGCAGAAGAAGGAGCCACGTGTGCGAGGCTAGCGCGTTACTCGTCCTTGTTTCAGCTGACGTCAATCGTCCGGTGAAGGTCCCCGAGGAGCTATCGGAGAGCAGCTTCTCCTCCCTGTTGGTGATTATCGGAGCACCATGTCTGAGCCAGGGAAGGTTGGCGAGATCCTCCCACCTGTCGAGCAGCCGCCTGAGGCCGCTGGGCACCCCACTGAGTCGACGGAGCACCCTCTGTCTCAACCCCCTGCTGCAGCAGCAGCAGAACCCGCCATCGCCCACCCTCCCGCAGACAGCATCGCAGCTCAAGAGCAGGCAGAGCGGGAAGAGGCCAAGCAGGAGGATGCGGCCATGGCTGAGGAGCCACCTGAGGCTGCCGGCCAGGAGACCGTCCCACCCACGGCACCTGTCCCTCAGCCCAGCGAGGAGCAGTCGACGGGCAGTGTGCAGCAGGCAGTACCAGCTGCAGAGGGAGGGGGAGACATGGAGGTCGGCGAGGCCGGAGCGGCTGCCGATGAGACCATGGAGGATGCGGGAGGTGGCGACGCGTCAGCCACCGACGACGCCAAGAAGGCCTCGACCGAGGATCACGAGGAGGAGGGCGAGGAGACCTCCTCTCCCACTGCGAAGCCCGGCAAGATGACCACTCGACGACAGAGCAAGCTTGCCGCCGGTGGAGAGGACACCGAGAGCGGGGCCCAAGCGGCTGCCGAGGGCGAGGGGGAGGAGGGCGAGCACGACCACGACGAGGAGGACGAGGGCGATGACGACGAGGAGAAGGTCCGCAAGCCCAAGAGGCCCAAGCGCACCGGGGAAGAGACCACCCGAGGCGGCCGGCGCAAGATGCGAGGCGGCAAGCGCAGGGGCGGCCGGGGCGGCAAGAGGGGCAGTGCCGACGTAGTCTACCCCGTGGCCCCGGCGCTCCTGTACCCTCCTCTCCCCCTGCCGCCGCCCGTTGAGTTGCGCTGGGCTCAGTGCAGCAAGTGCTCCAAGTGGCGGTCGCTGCCCGGCATCAGCGACGAGGACTGGATCAAGGTGGAGGCAGACAACGAGTGGTCATGCGAGCTCAACCTGTGGACCACCGACAGGAACACCTGCGACGCCGACGAGGAGGAGGAGAAGGCCCCTCCCGCACCGGCAGCAGACATCAACGCCCTCGCTGCGGCGTTTGGTGCCGGGGCCGCCGGCCCGCTTCCCTCTCTCCCCATCGGCGCGACCCCCGCAGCACCCCCTGCAGCTGGCCAACAGGGTGGGGTAGTGGTCCAGACAGAGGCGCCAGTGGTCAGGGCGTCGGGCAAGGCCAAGGCAAGTGCCAAGAGGGGGGCTCATGTGCGCATTGGGGGGGGTGGCGCGGGCCGGGGAGCTGGCGTGCGGCCGCCTGTGGCTGGTGGTGAGGGAGTGCCTGTGGTGTCTGAGGGGGCGTGGAACTGGGTGGAGTGCGATGAGTGTCACGAGTGGCGTGCGCTGCCGTTGAACATGCCCGCGCCGAGTGAGGACGAGCGCTGGAGCTGCATCATGTACCTGCACCCCCACTACTGGACGTCGCTGCGCGACAAGCCCCCCATGCCCCCCAGCAACCAGCCGGCCACCTACTACAACTCTTGCAAAGACCTCGGTACGTACAACAGCACAGTCTACACAGCTGATGGGTGTGGATATATGTCCACGTCTATCTATCGCTGTGTGTGGCCTTGTCTCTGTGTGTATTGTATTGTATCCTTCATTCATTCAGATGAGTGTCCGCACTACCAGAACGTTCACAAGATCGCAAACGAGGCCGAGGAGTACGCCAAGGCCGTCGCCAGCGGCGCCATCCCACCCCCACTGCCACCGGCATTCCCCGCCCGCCAGCAGGGCAAGAAGACACCCAAGCATGCCACCGCGGCCACCACGTCGCCCACATCACGGCACCGCAGCGGCCCCCGACGTCAAGCCACCGACAAGGGCGGCTCCGAGCTGGCCGAGGGTGGCCATGGGGCGTCCCGCAAACGGTCACTGCGGGATGGTCGCCGTCGCCGCAGCGACGAGGAGGGGGAGAACGGCGTCGACATGGATGACGAGCAGGATGAGGACACCGACGACATGGCCAGCGGCCGCCACCACTCGAAGACAAACAACCAGGCCGAGAAGCTCGCCGACATGTTTGCGGGAGAGGACGGCAAACGCACCAGGGGTGGCGGCGCGCGCGACCCACTCGGCCGATTCGCAGAGGGCAGCGGCAGGCGAGATCGAGATCGAGATCGGGACCGAGACAGGGACGACAGCGGGGGCGACACTGCCACACCCAAGGGCGCCGCCACTGGCAGAGGTGTCCGTGCGGCGGCCATGCAGCGCCGCGCCAGGCGCGAGGCACGACACTACGCCGACACGGACGGCGGTGGTGATGACGAGAAGGACATGGACGAGAAGCCGCCAGCGCATCACCACCACACGGGCGGGGGTCGTGGTGGCCGACGTGGGCGGGGGAGGGGCGGCAGGGGTGGAGGGGCGGCTGCCGCTGCTGCGGCGGCACAAGCTGCAGTGGTTGGTCCTGGAGGGGTGCAAGTGCTGCCCCCTGGCATGATGTACGTGCCCATCGAAGAAATCACCGACTGGATGGCGGTCAGCGGACGAGACGAGCGAGCCATTGAGTGAATCACCTGGACGTCTGTGCACGCCTGCCTGTCTGCCTGTCTGCCTGTCTGCCTGTCTGCCTGTCTGTCTGTCTGTATGTCTGTGTGTTGATCAGTGCGAGAAGTGCAATAAGTGGCGGAAGGTGCCCAAAGACATCGTGACCAAGTACAAGAACAAGTCGTTCTACTGCGAGCACAACCCAAACCCCAATTTCAACACCTGCGACGTCCCGCAGGAGGCAGACCAAGGCGCCATCCCCCTCGCAGCCAACGGCATCGGCGTCCTACCGGCGGCATTCCCACCTCAGGCAAACCAGCAGGGCCAGGGAGCGGGCGGGGGAGCCGCAGCAGCTGCTGCGGCTTGTGCGGGCGGGGCGTCTGCTGGCATGGAAATGCCTTCGCAGGGAGGGGCTGCGGGTGGTGGTGGCTGTGGCGTCGACGCGATGGCGCTCAATGGGTCTGGTGCTGGCGATGGTGGCGGCGGGCAGGTCATAACACAGACCATGGGCGCGCTGCCTGCCGTCATACCCGGCTCACAGAAGGTGAGGATTGACCTGCATAGACAGACGGGCACGGATGGATGGACAAGAGGGATAATGGGTCGTCTGCGTGTGTGTGTGTGTGTGTGCTTCATTCAGATGGTTGGTCCTGCGTTTCCTGTCCCTGGTCTGATCCATCCGCCTCGCATGCTGCGGGGTCGAGTCATCCTGGTCGGCGACGACGGTACGAACGACCTGACCTAACGAAGCCAGCACCACACACAACACACCCACACCCACACACATCCACACACACACACACAGACAGGGCCCCATTGCTCTCTCTCCTCTTTGTGTGCCATGTTCTGCAGCGTGGAAGGGCCACATGACCGCCTCGCGCGACAGCCAAGACCGCCTCCACGTCACCATCGACAACCCCCCAGCCGGCGGCGGCAAGCAGCCAGTCGCCAACACGCAGGCCGCACAGCGGGGCGGCATCAACACCCTCAACCCCCCCCCCATCTACCCACCCGCAGCGGACATCATGGGCCAGTTTGTCCCCCTCCCGGCCCCCAATGCCTCCGTCAAGGGCACCATTGCGCTGTTCCAGTTGCCCACCGAGGAGGAGTGGGAGAAGAAGGACCTCCGCGAGGGCAAGAAGGCAAAGGCCAAGGCCAAGGGCAAGGCGGCGGCGAGCGAGCAGCAGGGCGCAGCCGTGGTCAAGGACGAAAAGGAGAAGGATGAGGATGACCAGAAAATGGAAGACGGTGAGCGACGATTGACGAGTGTCATCAGACACGTGAATGGACCCATGTACGTCTGTGTGTGTGTGTGTGTGTGTAGGTGGTGAACGTGCCGCTGGGGACCAGGAGGATCAGGGCGGCGACGGTGGTGATGGTGATGGCGATGGCGACCAGGAGATGCCCGACACCACTCTGGAGGAGGAGAGGAAGCTGCAGGACGAGTTCTTCAGCCTTTGCCCGCACCGAACCAGACAGGCAGGCACACACACACACAAACATACACACCGACGGCAGACAGCGACCTCTCTCTGCTGTCTGTCTCTCGTCCATGTGTCTTGTCAGATGGTCAAGCTGGAGGCCCAGCGCCGCAAGGGCATCAATCCAACCGAGAAGTTCAACCAGTTCTGCACCGAGCGCGACAAGGCCAATGGCGACGAGGACGGCCGCAAGAAGAGGGCCAAGAAAGCCGCACTGCGCTCCAAGTCCAAGGAGCAAGACAGCCTGCTCGAAGGCCCCCGCATGCGCGTGACGAGAGGCGTCAGACCCAAGCTGCCCCCCGAGCTCTTCGCCAGCAGCAAGGGCGGCTCCCCCAGCCCCTCACCCAAGCCGCGCAAGCTCAGCAAGGGCCAGCCAGGCCTCGTGTACAGCCGGTCCAACTCCAACCTCTCCACATTCCTGCAAGACGGCGCCTACGGCCTCTCGGGCCCACTCCCGTCATCGGTCAACGGCATCCCCGGTGTCACACCACGTGGGGGCGGTCGAGGCGGTCGTGGCGGACGGGGAAGGGGCAGGGGCGGACAGAGGGGCGGGGGGGCGCTGTCTGGTGGAGTGCCTCCTGCGTTGCGATCCTTGCGGTCGGGCGAGTCTCTTGCTTCAGAGGGCGGCCGATCGAGGGGCCGTGGGCGGCGTGGTGGGCGCGGCAAGCGTGATGAAGATGAGGTGTCTTTCCGCATTTCGTCTCGCAAGCGCAAGGCCCAGGAGGAGGAGGATGAAGACGAAGACGAGCAGGACGAGGGAGACGACAATGACAATGACAACGACACCGGCGAGGAGGCCCCACCACCCCCACCACCCGCAGACAAGAAGGCAGATGAGGACGTGCCCATGCGCCAGCCCCCGCCGCCCGCCATCGGCACGTCCGACGATGAGGACAATCTGCCGCTGAGCAGCAAGAAGAAGACTCCCCTGGCCACACCCAAGGACGGCAAGGCCCCCCAGCCATGGCCCACTGAGGCGCAGGGCAAGACCAATGCGCCACAGCCGATGGACACGGACGACGCGCAGGGGGCTGGCGACCAAGCAATGGACAGCACCGATCCTGCGGGTGGTGGTGCTGCTGGTGGTGATGGTGGCGGTGCTTTGGGCGGTGCGGCAGCCGAAGCAGCAGAGGAGGAGAAGTGAGTGATATCGGTGCACGTGTGTGGGTGGGTGGATGAGTGGGTGAACGGTCTTGTCTTGTGGGTGTGGTGTGTTTTGGCTTTTTCCTGAGTGGCTGGCTGGCTGGCCGCCGGGTGAGTGAGAGGTTGCTTTCAACGATACAGATAGGCATGGACAGACAGCGGTCGGTTTACTTTTGCGCCGCGCCGTTGATCTGGCTGGCTGGCTGGCTAGCTGGCTGACACACCCACCCACCCGACACATGCATTTTCGTTTCAAGTAATGTATAGAGCGCGTGGCTGGCGGCGGGTGGGGGCCGGACTGAGTGAGGTGGCGATGGGACAGACAGAGGAGACTTTACGCATCGATCGATCATTCAAAGGATCTCTCTGGAGCACTCACTCGTCGTCGACATACATATGTAAGGGAGTGAGCACATGCACCGTGAGGGCATGGGGGTCAGTTTGGGAGTGATTTATTGACCTGAGACCGAGGCAGACAGGCAGACGTGACCGAACCAGCCACGTATTTTTGATCACATTTCGAGCCTTTTTCACTCGCTGGATAGCCGCCCTGCAACGCAATTTTTGACCTGGCGTGCACGGTGCACCCGCGTTGGCGATGGGGTGGTGGGTGAGAGATGGCGCGTACGTGCTGTACCTTAGTAGTGACTCGTCGACACTGGTACAGTAACTTTGGCCTGCCTGCCTGCATGGGGAGAGAGAGAGAGGTGTCACTCAACCAGTACCTGTTGGCTGCGGAGCGAGAGGAGCTGATTGTGGTACCATTGACGCGTACAGTGACTTTACGAGGGAGGGCGCATTGCTCTCGACTGTGTGTACCATACCTGCGGCAGCGTACGTACCTTTAAAGGGAGGGAGAGGGACACCCACCCACACACACGCACGGGATGATGGATATGGATGGATGGATGGATTGATTGATTGATGCCTTTTTGAGGAACACGAAATGACTGGCTGATCGGTGTACGTGTCTGTCGGCCTGAAGGCTCTGGGAAGGCCTGTAAAGTCAGCTTGTGCGATGGATGATTCATGCAAGACACGCGACAAGAATCGACTGATATGTCCTTTCACTGCATTCACGTGCCGCGCTTCGCGCACTCTGTCCATCCATCCATCCACAATGATGCAAACGATCGACAGCATCATGCAAACACTCGGCGAGTTGTCCTTCGAGTCGCCTCTCTTGACACGTCATCCAGCCTCAGGCAGAAAGCATGGCTCCTAAAAGAGACTCATCATGCAGCGACCCCATACCCACACAGCTGGCTATGTACAGGACAACTGCCTCGCCTCTCTCGCTCACTCATTCATCCGTGGCGATCTCCACTCAGCCCTCCGACGGGATCAGCCCTCTCCACGACAGATCTTGCATCGCGCTGCCGACGTAGAACTTTGCATCGGTGCTCGCGCCAGTGCTGCTGCTGCCTCCATCTATGTCCTCAGTCCTCTTCCTGCTTCTTGTCTGCAGCCACGCCGCCTTGCCGTCGCTGTGGGGGGGGTGGCACTGGAGGGGCGGCACGTCGCCCTTCTTGCCGTCGGTCGACGTCCTCCGCACCACCTCGGGGGTCACAGATGAGCTCGGGGTGTCTAGTGAGGCGCCCGGGGCTTTGGAAGCATTGACAGGAGCGGTGACAGAGGGACGCCGGATAGTGCGGCGAAGAAGATACCGCTCCAAGTGCTGCGCCAATCGAACATGAAACATGCCGCTGCAGTGGGAGTTTGGTTGTGGGGCTTTTGTTAAACGGAAGGTGGACACGAACTCGCTTGGCTTCCCCTTTCTCGGGAGGTTTGCATGGTGGCTGAGGTGTCGTTGGTCAAGATAGTCGTCGGGTCAGGCGATGCATGTCATTGCAAGACAGACATTCTACGAGAAGAAGGAAAGTGGAAAAATGGACAAATAAGGTGTTCAATCACGCATGCGGCATGCCTATCTCTGTGCCTGTCTGTGCAGAACCTGCTGGTCAAGCATTCCTCGTATTTTGCCGCCGCGCTCGACGGTAGTGGGTTTGCCGAGAACGCCACACAGTCCGTAGAGGTGCCTTCCATCCGCCCCGAGACCTTCAAAAACATGAGCTGGCTACTGCCGTCGGGAGATATGTGCAGCCCTCAGGTGGGAATAGCATGCGCGTGCGCATGACTGCTTTGTATTGCCGTTCTGTTCGTGTCAGGTGCTCAAGGCCCATATCGCCGGCATGACGGACCTGCCGTGTGCCCTTGACGTGCCCACGGACGGCACACATGTAGATGAGTCCGACCAGGGCGATGGGAAGGAAGAGAGGACGGCCACGGGTGAGGGCCCACCGCAGAACGGGCAGCAGACCGACGGCAGCATGGTGTACAGCAGCCTGCCCCATCTGTTGGTCATGTGTCAATATTTCAACATGGAGGCCCACGTGGCATACATCGCTGTATTCGTGCGTCGAAAACTGGTTGATCGATGTCGCCGCCTTTGATCCTACACATGAAGCCAGGCGTGCTGGAGAGCGGCGACTTCCCAAAGGCAAGGGTCATTGAGGCGTTGACTCGTGAGGCCCTGAAACAGCCAGTTGGGGTGTGGCAGCCGCTGATGGCGAAGCTGCCCGTGGAGCTGAGCATGAATGTCTTGGCTCGCGCTGTGGGTGGCTGGAAGGCCGCGGATGGGGCGATCAGAAAACTGTGGGGCGATGGTAGCTTTAACTCGATCAAGAGCGCGTACCCTGTGACGATGAACCAATTTTGCGAGTACTGTGACAGCACACTCTCTGGCCTGTCGATGTGTGAGACGATGGATGACCTTAAAAGCTGTAATACAATTATCCACCTCTACTCATTGTACCGATTATTTGTCATTCATGGCTCGTGCATGTCAGTTTGTTGATCGTTGCTTTGTCGCTCTGAATCGACACAAGTCGCTCAGTCAGTCAGTCAGTTGATGAGATGCATGCACGTCATGGCATCATTGGTTGGATGGATGAGAGGATGAGTCACTCAGTCAGTCAGTGTGTTTGTGATTGGTACTCACACATCGTACTGTACGTACGTACAGAACCAACACACCAAAGCCCTATATCGGCCGCGAGGCTGGAGCGAGTTGGCATGTCTCTCATGTAACAGGGCCTCGCTTCTCCTGTCATGGAAGCCAACTGACGACATGACGTTGTGAGGCACTCAAGGACGCTTCGCATGCACTCAGTGACTGTGTGGCTTCGTGTCTCATTATGACTTTGGTCTGGGTCCGTCATTAGTTGTGTCTCGTTGCTCGAGACACGAGGCGTTTGTACGCAATGTACAAATGGCAGAAGCGCTCATAATTTGACGAAGTGCGCGTATGTGGTCACGGCGGGCCAGCCAAGCGCCTGCCATCTGTCTATACCCTCCGACCGCCTCCTGTACGTTGCGGTCGGCAATTTTGAAATCGGCATTGCTGTGTACGGCACTCTTCTGACATGACTGATTGGGCCATGCGCCTCTGAAACGCATGCGGACAACTGATATATATATACATATATATATATATATATATTCCATAGCATCAATGTGTGTACGTATGTTTGACACCGAACCATACCTGACACACACAGGCTGACTGGTATGCGCTTCCTCTTGGTGTCTGTGGCGGGGAAGCAGACGAAGGTCCAAACTTCGGGTTGGACCTTTCTTGCATCCTGAGGGTCAATAATTGGTCTGTACATGCCTGTCTTGGTCGATCCATCCATGCATCCATCCATCTATCCATCCATCCCCCCAAAGAGCATGTACGACACGACAATTGTTGGTGTGCATCGAGAAAAAGGGATGTCGCGTGTTTCTGTCTCCATCCGCAAATCAATCATCGTCCACACAGGTATGTCATGGCAGCTCAAACATCCTTGAATGAAAAGGACAAAACTCGTATATGCTTACTGACTGATACTTGTTCTCATCAGCAGCTGTCAAGAGGATCAGCACAAGGACTGCCGCATTGCGAATGATGACAGCAGTGCCGCCGATGCCCAGTGCCAGCAAGTGCATCCTGATGACGCCCGGCTCGGTTATGCTCTTAATGAGGGGCAAGTTGGCAGAGCGCACGAGGCAGATGTAGAGCGCACCCTCGAAGAAGACTTCGATCAGCACCATGAGTCCCAGACCTACTAGCCTCTCTAGCAGGTGACGGACGGATGGAAAGAGGATCTGGCCGACAGTGATGTTGAACAGGTTGGTGAAGATGAGCACTGTCAACTCGGTCAAGCTGTAGGCATGCATTTGCTGCAGCAGTGGAGGCAAACAAAAAGGGGGGTAGAATGAATGGATTTTCTTGTCTGTCGCTTTCTTTCCTTACATCGCTGAGACGCCGAAGGAATATCGGGTGATAACCAAATTGAACAACCCGAGTGGGGACGTCCAGAAACGTGCTCAAAGACCTCATGTTCGTAGAAAGGCGGCTGAGTAGCATGACCGGCGTCTGCTTATCGCGCGTTTCCTGAGTATCTTCAGCAATGACGGTATCGAAGTGCCGATCTCGTACCGGCCTGCATAGGAATCGCACCAGACTTCTTCTTGCGGCCCCACCTATGAGAACGAAATACGGCATGGCTAGGTCGGTAACGAAGTCGAATGATGCAAAGATCAAGCTCGACAGAAGCTGATAAGGAGAGACATGTCCAGGAAGGACGAGGAATGGATCTGACGCGAGGACAACGTCGATAGCGTCGATGTGCTTACCTACCTGAGAGGAGATATATTCCATCTTGGCTTGGACGACCCTTGGGAAGAGTGCGAAGCCGAACGCTACAAACGTGATTGCTGGAGACGTTTGCAGGGCAGGGCCGTCCTTCAGAGAACGAACGATGCCTGTGACTGAGACACAGACCGAATACGCATGGAAACATGCGAAGGTGTCCATCGACCGAGTCGCATTTCTTACGGGTCGCAACAAGGGGCGACACCACGAGCAGCCAAGCGAAGAGGACGCGTGTCCTCTCGCGATCTGTTGTTGCAGTCCGGGCAAGTGGCACGAAGTAGAGGGGACCGGCAAACGAAAAACAGATGACCACTAACATCATGACCCATGTCTTGAGAATATACGCCCGCTTCCTCAGGATTATTGTCGAGCTCAGAGCCACTTGGCGAAAGACCCTGACAGGACAGGCACAACGACAGAGAATATGTGCGTACTATCACAATTCTTCTCTCACATGAGGAGCATGAACACGCCAATGGGGTAATACATGAGCGGCGCATATTTGTGGTGTTACAGAAGCCACACATGGGACACACCCAGGAACGAGGAAATACCATGTCGTCCTCAAGCGGCGGACAGCCCCAATTGCACTGCCCTCAGCCACAACGAGTATCATAGCCACAAAGCATAGGGCAACGATGATGCGGCGAGTTACATCAAGGACTATCCCTGCTGCTCTCGCGCTCATCTTCTCGCACGCCGACCAGTACCCCAGCCACACCAGGGCCCAACAGACTGCAAAGCCGACGGCTGCAATTAGGTGGAATGAGAGTACCTGGAAAGTGACAGACCTGGAAGGACTGCGATATTGTGCGAATGGTTACCTTTATAACTCGTCTTACAGTCGTCCAAAGCGGCTCAGGAGTAAAGACCGCACCAACAAATGAGCCTCCTCCATATCGCAAGTCAGTTTGGAACTCCTGAAAGGAGGCTGCATGTCCCGCGCATGCTCGGAATTCATTCACCTTTTCTTCGAGCTCCACCTCCTCTTTGCGCAGCGCTCTTCCGTCTTCTTCTCCGTCCTCATGAAAGACAACCCCCTCTTCTGAGTAGGTTTCTGTAGGCAGGCCGCAGGTCACGTCGTTGGTCCCAGTGGCGCCTGTGCTTGCTGGGTCAATGACATGCGCCTCGCCGCTGAGAAGATCTGCTGGTGCATCGCTGACTTTCATGACGTGTTCAACGTCGTGTTGCGGTTGAGCGGCGGTGAGCTCCGTGGTCAGCATCTTCGAAACGGGAACAATTCGATCCTGGGGCTCCCTGGGGGCTCTTGTGGGGGCTCAGTCTCCACGGCGGAGCAACTTCAACTTGAACTCCCGGCTCCACGCGCAGGATGATGCACCGGCTTCAGAGCCCGTTACATTCAAATCGGACTGATGTGTACAGCACGGATGACGACTGGGTAATGACGACAGCGGCGGCCTCAGCCTGCCCTCAGCGGCAAACAGCCGCGACCACGCTGAGGGCTGGATGAAGGGGGGTAAGACGCGTGGGCACGCCAAAACTGCACGAGGATCTTGACTGGCTCATGCCTGTCTGCATTGTTTGTCCGCGTCTTTTCCCTCTGCAGCTGCTGCGCCAAATTAGAGCGGCGGTGTGGATGTTGACCTGGCGGTGCAGATGCTCGCGAAGCAGAAGGCCCCCGGCACGGCAAGGCTCTTCACAAAGGCATGCAGGATGAGCAGAGATCCATTCATCGGGAGTCTGTTGATGGGGAGTGGGGTTAGGTGTACAGTAGTTAGGTGTGATGTGCTGCCCTCCTTCTTCTTCAGGGCCCTCGGCTCGATGCTTCCCTCGTCTCTCCGCAGCGGCCCCCTCCGTCCGCACCCCGCCACCACACGCCACGACAGGAACGAGTAAGGAGCAATCCCAGGCCGACATGATTGGCAGGCGACAAACGTGTGTCTGTCTTCGTGTGTGTGTGCTAGGCCAGCTGTGCCGTTCGAGGGAGCTAATGCCGCCACGCCATCTGACCTGGAAGGCTTCATCGCCGGACTGCTCACGACACGCCCTTCGATGATGCAAGTGTCTGACTGGCCGTCGTCAGGATGTGCTGCGGTGCATTGCGTTTGTGTATGTGCGTCGGCGCCGGCTGCGAGTGCCCAAGTATGCTGACGTGAAGCACAGCCCCTTTAGCTGCCCGTCGCACGCCTACGATGTCGAGGTGGTGTCGTTCCAGCAGCTCATGCGGCAGCCAGGCGGCGCAGGGAGTCGTGGCTGAGCCATACACAACCATCAGCGCCAGGAAAGTCGAGACGGCCGACAGACAGACAGACAAGCTCGATCGATCGATATTGTATGTGCGTGTATACGTATGATACAGGGGTGTTGTGTCCCATGAAAACAACAAGCCGACAGAGTTCGACACGCTCATCGACTGGCTCAGGCACCACCCCCACCGAGCCATATTCGCCAAAGTCACACAGATCAAGCTCTTCAAGACCTTCAAGTGAGCATTCACATGAAGCCAAATCCGTTCGTGGGCGTGTGGATAAGAGCAGGCGTTGGAAGGCCTTCGAGCTGTGGCGACTCGAGAGGGCACGCGCGCGAATGCAAGAGGCCGCCCAGGGGAGTCAGTAAAGCGACGAAAAGGATATAGATGGGTTCGTTTCTTCAGTCTCTAGAGGCCAAGCTGTTCATACTGAATCCGCCATTCCGTGATTTGCTCCTTCGATGCCGATCTATCGCTGTGCCTTCAAATCGAAGACCTCAGGCAAGCACGGCACTAGCTGACTTGTTAGTCATCTTGTTGAATATCCATCGGTGGACTGAATGAATGTCGGCAGGTGCTTGCAGACCGAGATGTACAACACTCGAATACACGGAGAGAGTCGATCAATGATTGACGAGATTGCAATTGACTGATTGTCAATCATGGCGTCGTGGTCAGTGTCGTTTGTCGTGGCACTCCTGCTGCTGCTGCTGTGCATCGGTGTGGACGGCAACGGGCAACAGCCTGTCAGAATGAGCAAGACCGACGCGTAAGTCATTCACATGATGATATACTGGATGAATGCATTCTG